GGGTTTTTGTGTGTTTTGTTTACCACTAAACAAGTGTCTGGCTCATAGTAGGCGATCAGTAAGGAGGCGTGAATTGAATAGGTGGAAGGTATGAGGTGAGGTTTTTATTTCCACCCATGACACTGACACCCACTGAGCTGGTGGTGGGGTGCGGCTGGGAGCAGCTGGATTCCCACGCCCCCTCTTAAAGTGAACTCAGAGGAGACAGAGCTCCCTTCAGGTGAAGGAGGAGAAAAGGGAGGGAGGAAGATAGGCTGTAGTCTCTGCCTATGATCTTATACCAAGGCTCTTCTATTTTATATTGTCATTTTTAACCAACACCACAGGGACCTAGGCACCTTAGTGTACTCCAGCTGAAAGTGACCGGTGAGGAGGCCTGGGAGGGGCTGTGGCACAGGGGGACCACACACCCAATCTCAAGGGACAGCTTTACCCTGCTTCTGCTCATTTTTGTCACATTGGGAATGCAAGGTCATATGTGCCACATACTAGGAATTTTCAAAAGATGTCCATACATTTTCAGATGACAGCTGCTCATTTGTTGAATTAGTACCTAATGTAAAATGTTAAAGATGCCGCAACAGCCCACCATAGAGTTTGTGACCTCTCACCTAATTCTTTTGTTTTAACTTAATGCCATCACATCTCCCTCAAGGATTTGTAACACCCAGTTTTCCTTGTAACATTTTTCCCAGCCCGTTTTTCTGGTCATTTCTCTGAATCCACAATAACACAGTTGGTGTCACGTTCACGTGCCCTGCGGCACCAGTTCTGAATCTCTTCCCTTTCTTGTTCTCCTTTTCTCTCCTTAGGGTCTCTCTCTTTGCAGCTAAGCCTGGCTTAAGCTACCTAGGACTTTGAAGCATGCAAAGGTCCCCACCTGAATTCCTACAAATCCTGGCCTGATGCCCTCCCTAGTTCCCCTCTGTCTCAAGTGTTCACCACCCAGCTCCATTTGTTTCTACCATCTCTCCTGCCTGGACTTCAGGCCTCCAATTTCTTTTCCTGCTGTCCGGTAGAACCCCATGTCCAGGGTTAAGGCAGGTCCTCCAGGAGCCCAGCAGGGAACCCACAGGGTGGCTAGGAGCCTGGCCCAGATCACAGAGCCACAATGCCCATCACCACCCCACCATGCCATTTGGAATGGAGCCTGGGATGCACTGATCACATTCACATGGGCAAAGACACCACCCATGGACCATGATTGAGACCATTCATATCCCCCAGACTCAGCAGGAACTCTGTGATCAGGCTGTATGGTGGCTGTAAGTATTAAAAGGAAACCTCATATCTGGAAGGAGATAGTCTCAGCAAGCTATGCCTTGTCCTGTTCCACAGGCCAGCAATTTACAGACTTTGTGTGTTGATCGGCATCTTCATGAGTACATTGTGTTTCTTGGATTGTTTTCTTTACCAGCCCCTGCCGTTTCCCAAGAAGCCAGTTTTGAAAGCCTGTTTGCCCACCTCAGCATTCCTAATGAAGATGTAAGGTCTTACTTGCTTTGGGGTTACAAATTCTGATGTCATTTCTGCCATTTGCAGGCTGTGTGCTCTTGGGCAGATTGCCTGGCCTCCCTGAGCTGCAGTTCCCTCCTGGGTAAATCGGGGGTAAGAGAAATACTTGCCCTGACTGTATCATCACTGAGTGTCAAAGACTTCTTAGCTGAGTCTGTGATTGTTTTGTTGGCAAATTACGGTCCACAGGCCAAATCCAGCTCACAGCCTGGTTTGGTACAGCCTGCAATTAAGAATGTATTTTACATTTTTAAATGGTGGTTATGTACGTATCCATATACTCTTCTTGCTTTTGCCTCTTGGCCCACAAAGTGTAAAATATTTACCGTCTGGTCCTTTTTAGTAAAAGTTTGCTGACCCCTTCACCAGTATATGCTGGAAGGGCTTTCTGGCCCTGCTTTGTCACTGTTACTTTGGTTTATTGTACACCCACAGACTCTGCTTTGATACCTTTCAAGGTTTTCTCTCTTTTCATGAGCACTACCCCTAGTTGGGGGATTGCCCCACTATAAGTGGAGGAAACCAAGTTCCCAAGAGACGGTGAATTTCCCATGATCTATGTAAGTTGTTCTGAGGGACTGGGCTGAGTTCACTCACTGCACATCCCTGCCCCATGCCTGAGACACTCACTGTGCAAACTCACACTTGTTCATTCCAAACAGCACAGGCCTTTTGGAGGCTGGGTGTTGTCCTAGGCATTTCAGGGATTACAAAGATGACTTGCTCGGGAACTGCTCTCTGGAATTTCAAATCTAGTTGCAGAAATGGGGGTACCCATTTGTCGCCAGTGACAGGAAACAGTGTGTTCTGAGACCTCCGAGGAGTAAAGCTGTCTCACAGGGGGCTCCCTGAGGTCTCAAGTCCCTCAGAGAGCTTGGGTTGTACGTTGTGACATCAAGGCCCATGAAATCTTCCTGCTGGTGGCCCAGGGCAGAGATGCCTATATTCTGGCCTCCCCGTTCTGCGTCCCTGTGGCTGTTGCAGGGTCTGTTGCATGACTCTCAGAGACTGATGGTCACTGGCATGTGTGGTGTTTGGAGCCAGTCGTGGTGTGCACACAGTAGGCTGTCCTGGCCACGCACCTTGCTCCCCTTCCCAGCAGGGCTCTGTGTGTGCCTCCTCTCCATGTTACTGTAAAAACCACAATTACTTTTGCACCAGACTAATACTTTAAGTGAAACAGTGAGCCATCAGTCTCAGGCAGCCAGGATGTTGCTCAAGGTCCCCAAAGAAAATGCCTTCAAGACAGCAGCAACTCAGTCAATTTGACAAAGGAAGAGTATTTTTTCATTAAAAAACAAGTAAGAGGCTGGGGACAGTGGCTCACGCCTGTAATCCCAACACTTTGGGAGGGCTGAGGTGGGTGGATCATTTGAGATCAGGAGTTCAAGAGCAGCCTGGCCAATATGGTGAAACCCCACCTCTACTAAAAATACAAAAATTAGCCTTACATAGCCTTTCAGAAACAAAAACTCAACAGCTGCTATTACATGTTTTTCAATTCATCTAACATTTTGTGTGTGCTTTCTGACGTCTTTGAAGTTGCTTTTTTCTTTGCTATAAAGACACAATTTTCATCTACTCTTGGCTTTCTGGCAACCTCTTACTCCTTGTTCAAGAACCAGTGGCCACTCACTAAATAGGGTTCAGACAAGCTATTGAAAAGTCACCTTGACAAGGGTGAGGGTTCACAAGTGACTAAATCATTTCCTTAACAGATTGTGATTTGGGATCTTTAGCCATGAATAGGATACAGGGTTTATGGGAGCAGTTGTCCTACCAAGGGCAGAAAAAGCGATTCTTCCATGTCTATGGCCTTGACCTTCTTGTGAGAGCCAACTTCTTTGCTCATGTCAGTTACTGTTGTCCATCTGTTCACTCCTGTACTCCCAAAGCCCAGAAAAGTGCCTGGTGCAGAGCATGCACTCAACAAGTATCTGATGCTGAATTTATTCATCACATATTTATGGAGCATCAGAGGAGGAAGTTGGTGGGCATATACTGCTGAGTGAAGCCCGGTTCTTACACTGGAATAGTGCTCTCCAGGGAGGAACAGAGGATGCAAACACACAGTAACCACCCATGTGAATCGTGCCGTAAGGAGGCACCTGGGAAGTGCAGCAGAACATTGGGGAAGGTGGACAGAGGAGGTGAGACTTAAGGGGCACTGTAAAGGCGATGGAGTGGAGCGTTCCAGGCAGAGGGCTTGGCCTGTGTATAGATATGGAGGTGTGAAAGAACCTGCTACCGTTCATTCAGCGCTACCGGAAAACAACATGTATGTCCAGAGGACACAGATGGGGCTAGGCAGACTAAGAGAAGTTGGGTCCATGCACATGAGAAATTGGGCTGTGTCTTGAGCTGTGTCTTGAATTGGGATGGGTTTATTGGCTGGGTGTGTATTGGTAAGGATTATTCCAGCCCGGTGAACAGTAGCAACTCAAGGGAGAGTGGGGTTCCACCTGGGAAGAAGACAAGTTAGTGAATCTGTGTGATCCAGGAGGAAGATGGAACGACCCCCAGGAAAGTAAAGCCAGTGGGCAGGTCTGAGAGATTTGAGAGGGGAAGACTATATGCCGTGACTGGCCTAACAAAGGGATACCATTGCTCCATACGGACCTGTTTCCTCCTCATCCTGCCATCTCACTTCTTTTTGACATGACTCTTCCAGAAGTCCATATGGCTGGAGCAGAAGTTCATATGCTCATCATTAGACCTGTGCTCATCATTCCAGTAGAGAAAACAAGGTTTTATTTCAGGTATCAGACAAATAGACAACTCAGTCAGTGTGCTGAAAATAATATGTTTGAATTAGGCAGCATATTCAGCAATTAAATATAAGTTCATGTCTACATCTGCTGACTGTCTGTAGTACCCCTGATAACTTACGAAAGTTCAAAGAACGATTACGAGGGATATTCCCTGGGTACTTTAAGCCCTTTGTGTATATGCCTTGTCTATCTCTTTGTCTCATTTTGTGTTCCTTGCTGACCCCTCTTTGCACTTTATTTTTAATTTCCATGAAGGCAGGAAGAGGCAGGCGTCTGATGGTGCAGAGCACCCGAGAAGAGTGCCTTGTGATCTGGTGAGCTTATTAGGCACTTTCCAGTGATGTGATTACTAACTTGAAAAAGACGTTAAGCATCTTCATCAAACAATGTGCGCCTTTGTATGGCCAGTAGTTTTTTCATTTTTACTGGGACAGCTGTTCTCTCAAAAACAGTTCTATTATAAATAACTTGCAGTCACTGACAGACTTTCTTTGCCCTTCCACCGTCTCTGGGATGAGCTTTACTGGCTGCTAGGGTGTGTATCATCAAGCAGGTGAACCTCCTTTTTTTACACAATTGTGTGTTTCTTACTATAGGAAAGCAACATTTTGAAAATAAAACACCATTCTAAATGTGCTAGATGATTTTCTGAAGTAAAGGGCACCTTAAGTGCAAAAAAAAAAGTCACTTAGGTACGTCTTGTTTTAGGCATAATGGGTGCATGAGTGTTTTGCATTTTTTATTCCAAATAACACGTATTAATCACAAGAATGGAAACCCAACCATGAGTTGAATTTGTATTAGTGTCCTTTCTGTTCCTCTCTGCACCCTTGCAGAGTGAGGCTCTTAGACACCAGGCTCACCAAAGTGCCCTTGTAAGGCAGCTGTTCTCAAAGTGAGGCGCAGGCACCCCTGGGGGTCCAGGACACTTGTTTCCGGAGATCTGTGAGGTCAAAAACATTTTCATAAAAATATTAAGATGTTACAGTGTCATTCCTTTATGAGTATATAGTACAGTGGAGTTTTCTAGAGGCTACACAGTCTATCACAAGCATTTGAATCCAGAAGCAAATGCGAAGATCCAGCTGTCTTCAATTACACTAGACCTTAAAGAGCTTTTGGAAAATGTAAATCTATGCTTTCCTTCTCAAAAACTTCTGTTTTGGAAAATACAGTCATTCATAAAAATGTTATATATATTATTATGTAATGGGTTTGTTATTGCTATTTTAAAATGAATAAATACTTTAAAATTTCTGATTATTTCTAATATGATAAATATTGCTTAATATAACCCGTATAAATAACAGTCCTTGGGGTTCTCAGTAATTTTTAAGAGTGAGAGAATTCCTGTAACCAAAATGTTCGTGAGCCACTGCTCGAAAGTATAGTGCCGTATGCAATACAACCCTCCCAGCTTCTTAATGAAATTGGGAAGCTTTCTAACAAAGAGTAAAAGGATGAGTAAAAGTTCCCTAATCATGTAGCTTAGGCCCATTTCTACTTTTATTTGTGGATGTGCAGGAGAAAGATGAAGAATGACTTTAAAACCACAGAGTCTTATGAAAAACGTAACTTAAAGGCCCTCAACTTTGCGGGAGGAGGGCCAACCTTGATTGCAAGCCATTACCTTGTGGAGACACCCAGGCACACTTTGTTTTCCTCTCCCTGCTGGCTCTTGCCAGTTTGTGCTATGAATGGTGGGTTTGTGAGACCGCACAGCTCATCCTTCATCTCTTTGTGCAGCCAACGAGTATGTTTCCTGAGCACCTTTATGGAGCCTGGGCTGGTAGAAATTCAGACCCAGTTCCTGTACAAGGAAACAGCAAACACATAGGCATTAAGTGAACAGAGTCATTACTGACTTTGGAAAGTGATGCAAAGGGAATGAACAGGGTGATACGACACAGTACTTTAGAAGATCCCAAAGTAAATTCATGTGAGATACCTGGCAAAGGCTTTTCTAGGGAGCCTTCATTTGAGCAGAGCTAGGGGTAAGGGGTTGTTAGGAAGGAGAAGGGGAAGAGCAGTTCTAGCAGAGGGACCTGCAGAGGCCCCGTGGAGGGACATGGCTTGCTGGCAGTGTGGTGAGCACCAGAGTGGCTGAATGATGATGGGTATGAAGACATCGATGAACAAAGACCAGATTTTACAGAGCATTGTAGGTGTTGGTAAGGAATTTGGGTTTCAATCCAAGAGGATGGGAAGTGATCTGAGGGCCTTTCAGCAAACGGTGGAGTCATCCTATTTCTGCTTTGTGAAGACCAACCTGGTGACTATGTAGGGAATGAACTGGGAGAGGGAGGTAACTGGTAGGTAGGCAGGAGAAGAGGCAGAGAGCACCCAGGAGGCTCTAGACGTCATCGGGGACAACCCATGGTGTGCAAGGGTGACAGGCAGAAGTGGACAGGTTGGAGATCTAACTGATGGAGTCTGGTCTGTTCTACCCCATATTAGATCTCAAACCCGTCCACTTCTGGGGTAGGGATGAGACAAGAAGAACGAAGAAGCATGACCTCTATTTTTTATTAGAGCTACTTTTCTTTTCTCAAATCATTGCAACAAAACTCTTCAAGGTACTTAGCATCAAACCTATTATTTAGAGATGAGGAGACCAAAGTGTCAAGAACGTGCCATGGGTCAGTAGGGCCCCGCGCAGCATCAAAGCAAGTCGGCAGGTACTGCAGCTGCCGCGTTCCATCTGTGGCTTCCTTTCCCTGGTGGCATGCTCCAGCTTCCTGCCCCAGTCCAAATGGTGACACCGGTGAGGGCCTGGAAGGAAGGTTCCTCCCCCTCCAGTAGGTCAGGTCTGTTAGCTGGTGTAAGCCAAGTCACTGCCTTGTCTTGTGTGTCTGAAAAATGGGTCCAGAGGCATCTGCTGGCCACCAGCCCAAGCAGGATTTTATTGGGACTGGTCTGTTCATGTCTCAGGTGTGTCTCGTCTCCCTAAGAAAGGGAGCATTATTCTTCAGGCCCCATGACACGTCTCAGTAGGGGACGTGGGAGTCCTCCTTGGAGACAGTTAAACCTCTGTGAAATGGTGAAGGCTTTGGAAACAATTGTAAGAATTTTAAACATCGACCATTTTTGTTGAGAAAAAGGTACCTGTGCGTTTCATTCAGGCAATGGGACAGTCTTTTATTTAAAAACAAAGTTTTTAGAAAAGCTGTGAGGCTTACTCAGTGGGACAGAGGCTGAAGGGGGAAGAGAGAAGCAGGGAAGCAAGAACCAAAATTCTTAAATGTTGTCTGTTCCCACCTCCCAGGTATAATCTGGCAGCTCTCTGCTTTCTTGACACAACACAGGGCGCAGCTTCAGTGGTCTAGGCAGGTATGGAATGTCAGATACAGATTCGTAGTAACTAGTGACAGTAAGCCCAGCCATATCATCTCTGAAATATCTGCAGCATCTGTATAGCTGAGGGGATGGCATGAAGCTGACTGCTTCTCTTCCTCCCAGTTAGCTGGGCAGCCCTTCAACAAATAACTTACTGCTTTTGGAATTGAAAATGCATTTGGGGAATGATTATCTGCTTTCTCACCTGTAGGGCAGCCTCTCTCCTTATAACCCCTAGCTACTTTGCATACTCATGGATATATCCTGCAATTTAAATTTTTATATTGTATTCATATGTGGAGTATTTTTCCTGCAACTTTGCAGAGCACTAAATATTATATGAACATCATTCAAAACATGTCCTTTCCATAAAGTCCGTTTATATGCCATCATTATCTGCAGCATTAAATACATTTTATATCATCAGAAATTTTATGATATATTTAAAAATGAATTTCTACTTAGCTGAAACACATTAGGGATTATCCTGAGAGACCTTGCTAAAAATGCAGTCATGTTTATTTGTAACTGCCAGAAAATAGCTTGCAAAATTGTTAGTGTCTTTTATTATTCCCTGCCACTGGAGCACTTGCTTGTTAATTAGAGAAATTTCAACTGTCATAGTTGGCAATTACAGCTTCTGTATCATTGTCTGTTATGAATAGTCAATGAGAGCTGATTAATATGCATGAGCAGCAGTATATATAGCGTGTGCATTGGACCACAATCCAGCTGCCAGAGTCACTCAGAGGAGGGAGTGGTGTGCGTGTATGTCTGTGTGTATGTGTGTGTGTGTGCACGCGGGTGCATGCATGCATGCCGCGAGGGGAGGAAGGGAAGCGGGGAAGAGGGAAGAGAGTTGTTTTCTAGCCTCTGAGAGCAGTGCCAATGTGAAGCTTTGCAGTCGCCTGACTCACCTGAGGCTTTCCAAGGATACCTTCAATGCCTGCACTGTAAGGGAGCTGCTTTTCCCGGGTGCTGGCGAGGACGGAAGGCTTCCTTTGACGTTTTTCTAAACATGGGATGCAGTTTGTGCAGTCTGCAGAAGCAAGAGGAGCAGTACAAATTACTCTATGAAGTTTGTCAGGTAATGCCCTGCATTTTATTCCATAGAAGTGCATAGGCACCCACCTGGCCAAGTGTAACTTCTAGGAAAGGTACTGGGGATTGTTGTGCATGGTTTCGTGCATATTTTGTGTTCTGAAAGAGAAGCAGCCTTTCTGACTTTTCTGTGTATTTTCTCTTAAGTCTGTTACAAAATTTTCCATCCAGTGGCACTTTGGTGCCTGCATTTGAAAATACAAATAGATGTTGATGGTCATAAAATGTGTTTCAAGCAGTCTTGCCACAAGACTTCTTCACAACTGACCTCTCCAGAGTGTCGAACTGGAGGGGTCAAAGAGTGGTCATGCACCCTTTGAACAAGTTGAGAAGACGTGGATGATGATTAATGCTTGCAAGGTTTTGTCTGTGTTTACAAATAGTTATAAGGCGCTCTTTTCAGTACAGCTCAAGCCGTCTGCTGACTTGGTTCTTTTAGCAGTTCTTGTAGTGGGACATATGATTCAAATTGGTACTTCTCACTTGCCATTTCTGTCTTTCTCTCTTTGAAATTTTTAAGAACTTCAAAAGCAAGTGACTCAATCTTGGGTGCTGTCATTCACATCAGGTGACTTGTATCTTTGTGAGCAACTTGTATCATTGTGAGCAACTTGTATCATTGTGAGCAACGTGAAATTTCAGTTGAGGTGAGATGGGATATTTATGATACAACCCAGATAATTTATCTTACATCTTTGTCAAATGTTTTATTTTTAAATATTCAAGTTCTATTCTCAGCTAGGAGGTTTTAATACCGCTGTTGGTAACATACCTTGGCAGGTAAGGATTTTCTCGTAAAATCATTCTTCAAATTTGTCTTAAGTAATAAGAAAAAAAAAAATCATAATCCAGCTAAGGTTTTCTTTTTAGATAAGTACTTTAGAAGAAGGTTGTTATAGCAAGTGAGAAACAAAGGGTGTGTGTTTCTTGATTTATAACAATCAATGGCATATTAATATATTTTTTAAAGAGCCAGACTTTTAAAAAAAGAATTTGGGTCTCCATCAGTTTAGCGTCATTTTTTTTTTTTTTTTTTTTTGCTTAAACCACCAGGGGGTGCTATGCTTAAAGAGACGCCGTGAGAGCAGTGGAAAGTGGGTCGGCTGTCTCTCTGGACAAAACCTAAAGATAAAATGAACGTGGGTGAACAAAAAGTGTCTGTTTGTCTGTCTGCCGTCCCCACTGACACACAGAGAGAGCCGAAACAAACCTTTTGAAATTTGGTACTCTATGTAGGCAAGGGGTACATGTCTTACAAAGAAACAAGCATCTTAATAAGTCTTGGGAATAAATACATTTCACACTCAGGACTTTACTAGCCTCGTGTCTTTTCCAAAGCAATTGAGAGACGTGTTGGAGATCTTGAGCAAAAGTGCCGTCGCCAGTACCGATCTGGCCCCCATCCCTTGTGTGATCATGTACTGAACTGTAATCCTCAGTTAGCCAAGTTATCCCATTCAGTGAGCTGGGGAGTTCTCAGTGAGTCCAGCATGCAGACATGAAACAAGTGGAATAGCAGACACTGTCATTTGGGCAAGGCGGTTGTATTGCAGACTTTTGCCACGATATTTGAAATAGCTCAACATAGTAAGTCAAAGGTAGTTTTTAAAACTTGCATTTTAAAATGTTTTGTTTTTTTTTTTTTTACCGTCAATGCACAGAAAATATCATTCAGCAGTCATGGGTGCGGATGTATTAATTACACTGGCCCCCCACAAAAAGTAACTCTACTACATCTCCGGCAAATAAGTGAACTCGTCTTGTATTCTTCTGTATTATTTGTGCTCAATCCCCCTAGCCACCCCACCCCGACCCTACCCACACACATACGTACAACTGCCCCCAAAAGAGGGAGCCTGGATCCTGTTGTTTGTTTTTAACTAGGTGAATTTATGTGGAAATATTTCTGGCTGAAGCATTGCGCAGTAAATTGCTGATAAATGACTTCCATCTGGAATATACTTTGTCAGCAATTTAGGAAGCCATGCAGATTTATTTTCAAGAACTCAAACTACTTTTCAGACCCATTACCCTTGTGCCAACTAAGTAAAATCCCCCTTTCTCCTATTCTTTGGGAGTTCTGAACCGTAGCATAAAGGAATTCACAAAACACTTGCAGGAATTAATAATTGTATTCTTGCTCTTATTATGCAAAGCCTTATTAGAGCCGAGAAATTAAGGTTTCCATAAATTACAGTTCCAGAAGGTCCGGTGTGTCTGGCTTCAGTGAGCCCTCGTAACAGCAGCACAAAGAGGATCAAATATTCCAGGGCTCAGACTTTATCCTTTCCTCATCCAGAGATAATTCAAAGAGATGCTCTTCATTAGGGCCGTTGGCAAGCCGCCTACAGTTTCTTTTGGGGGGCTGATGTGAGCTTAATGATGCAGAACAATGGCTTTGCCTCTTGTTGCACACATACCTCATTGTACCTTTAATCACATTAGCAAAACAACAACACATAAAGTTGCCTGGTCATTAAAGGGCATTACAAAGAGTGCAGACCCATCAGTGATTGGGGCCATGCATTAGAGGATGCACCAAGACATTTAGGGACACTGAAACACTTCTATGGGGAGAAAGGCTCCTGCCTACCTGGGGTTGGTAAGGTCAGGTTCAGTAAGTACAGTGGTTCTTTGTGCTTTTAAGATAACTGTGGTGTCCAGGTGGTGGGGGTTGCAGGGCATTGTGGAACATCAAGACAGGGTCTCTGCCTACCAGAAATTTGAAATTTAACAGTTGCTTCATGATTTGGAAAACTTTAGCCTGTCTTGAGTAAGTGTGAGTACTCAGAAGTACTATTTAGGTGAAAGGACAGGGAGGGTTATCAAGGAGTACAATCTCCTACTTGGATAAATTAATTGGCACAGGAAATCTCATGTTCTGGGAGTAAAGGGATAGGGAGCCTCACAGCTCTTGGGCTATGGCTGGAATCCAGCTAAGGGTGGTTACCGGCTTTTGAGGCCAGGGAGTGGGGGTTGGCAGTGTAAGGATGGGAATGTCCGTCGCTCTGTGGCTTTGATGCCAGTGACTCCAGCACAGGCTAAGCACCAGCCTCGTATGCAGCTGTATACTGTCAGATCAAGGGGACAGCTAGTCTGTGGATGCTTTGAGGAGGGTCTCCCAGTGGAGTCCAGAAAGAGGGCAACAGAGTGGCAACCCAGCCAGTATATTTTATTCTTTCCACCTCTTCTGACATCGACCAGACTCTGTAAAGTGTCGTGATATTTATTAATTTGTTGAGGCAACAAGGAAATAATGCTAGTTGAGAGTTAAGCTTCAAACTAGAAATTATGGCTAGCACATTGTCCTAAAGTCCACATGCACATTTTCAAGATAATAAGGAAAACTTATCTATAAAGTTACAGAACTCTTCACTGCATTATTTATTGTGCATTTACTGGGTGTCAGCTGTGCATTTTCCCATCAGACGTGCACACAAGCATGAAGAGATAGGTGATACTGTCTTCCCCATTTCAAAAAGAAGAAACTGACATACCGGAATTATAGCGGGACTGGGAGTCAGATCTGCACTATAATTCCCAAGTCTGTGGATTCTTTCCTTGTATAAATCATTTTCCAGCAGTGTCAATGAATGAATGATGACTGACTTTATAGGGAACCTGTGGGCCACTTTTTAAAAATCATGCTTGCCTTTGCAGGGCTAACATAAAGTCTCAGACAGGCCCATGTGCTACATGATACCTCCTGAAAAGGGTTCCTATGCTGGTCCTTCACATCAGGGGAGGGTGGCGTGCAGAAAAAAATAAGCTCCAGAGTAGCACGGAGTTCCCATTGACTTCTCAGGCAGCCTGAAGAATGGATGATCGGAGAACACTTGTGTCCTTTTGCTTCTCAGTAATAACAGGAAATATCACATAAGAGTAACGTGTGCCACTTGTGTCACTTGAAGTTGTTGGTTTTGAGAAGCAAAAACTTTACCAGTAACTGACTTGCCAGAAAACTATAGATGTAATACAGATTTGTGACTCTTTATCAATCTAGTAGCCAGTTGGCTAGAAAAACACAGATTTCTACAGTAAATACTAATCAGAATCAAGTTAATGGAGAAGTCTGGAAACTTGACTTTGCACAATCCTGCTTGCATATTTAATTATCTACATGCAGTACTCAGATGAGTTTACTGCTGTAGAGCAAAGGGACTCCATCAGCTGAGTCAGTTGGGTCACGGTTCAATTAAGTATGGCCCCAGTTAACGACGGTTAATTGGATGAACATAAACTTGACCTCCACCTAGCAGTTTTGAACCTGGCAAAATTTTCCTGCAAGTAGGAGTGTGTTTGCTTAAACAGCCTATTAATTCTAAAAGCTTTGTTTTAGAAGCGGCTTTACATTGTGAATTCATTTAGGCGAAGTAGATATGGAAAAAGAAAGCTCATCTCGGCCGGGCATGGAGGCTCACACCCTATAATCCCAGCACTTTGGGAGGCTGAGGTGGGAGGATTTCTTGAGCCCAGGAATTCAGGAACCACCTGGGCAACTTGATGAGACCCCCATCTCTACACATACACACATACACTCACATATACACACACTATCACACACATACGCACACACACACACACAGAAATTTAATTTAGGCAGACATGATGGTGCATGCCTGTAGTCCCAGCTTCTTAGGAGGCTGAGGTGAGAGTTGGAGGCTGTAGTGAACTATGATGGTGCCACTGTATTCCATCCTGGGCGAGAGTGACAGAGCAAGACCCCTTCTCTGGGGCGGCATAGGGGAGGGAAGTCCATCTTCTCCTTCTCCTACCTTGACAAACCAGGGCCGTTTATTGACTGTGGAGCCAGTGTATGGCTAAGAAAGTCACTTTTTAATACATGGGCATTATTTGTCACTAACTTTTTTTTTTCTTGTCAATTAACAGTGGATTATAAGTCACTTTTGTGTTGATTCTGAAAAGGAACTATCAAGG